TATCTATCTATCTATCTATCTATCTATCTATCTATCTATCTATCTATCTATCTATCTATCTATCTATCTATCTATCTATCTATCTATCTAGGAGGGAGAGGGGAGGGGGAAAAGGAGGGAGGGAGAGAGGGGGGCGAGGGAGAGAGAGAGAGACTGGCTCAGTCACCCAGGCAGCTTTCACAACTAAGCAGCACTAGAACTCACCAACTCCTGGTGATTGGCTGAAAGTCACCTAGCTGGCTTTCATACCTAAGGAAGGACTAGAACTCACCAACTCCTAGTGATTGTCCGAAAGTCACCTAGCTGACTTTCATGGCTAAAATGGGACTAGAACTTACCGTCTCCTGGTTTCTAACCTGGTACCTTAACCATTAGACCAAACTGTCTCTTTAAATTAGCCAACAATGAGAAACGCGGCTTTCCCGCCACTCATAAGGACTAGCCTCTTGGTTTATTTGGAAGGAAGGAAAGAGGCCGTTTTACTTGTGCATCTAGTTCTTGCTTAGAGGGCTTTATTAGTCAAGGAGTGATTTCTTTTTTCACACTGGGAGTGTGCTAGTGGAGGACGAATATTTGACCTCGTCTCTCTGGGATGACCCCACATAGTTGTCCCGCCTGGCAGCGTACTCCCCGACGTTGGGCAGTCCCGGGACCACACAGCAGCTCAGCGCACTGCGGTAGATGCTCATGTCATGGGCATCATACCACTCGTCCGTCTTCTCGTCGTAGCACTCGACGTTGAACGTGGTCGTGAAGCCATTGAAGCCGCCCACCACAAAGAGCAGGTCGTCCACCACCTCAATGCCAAAGTTGCTCCGAGGGTTGAACATGGTCGGGATCGTGCGCCAAGTGTTGGCGATCGGGTTGTACGCCTCGGCGCTCCGCAGGCGGTTGGCGCCGTCAAAACCGCCTACCTGCAGAGGGCAAGAATCAAACCAAGGAACGACGTAAGGGAAAGGGCGGCTTGGCCCCGTGGCAGATGGAGAAACCCCAACATTTATTCGAATGGAATAGAGCTGGAAGGGACCTTGGAGGTCTTCTAGTCCAGCCCCCTGCTCCAGCAGGAGGTCCTATACCATTTCAGACAAGGGACTCTCCAATGTTTTCTTAAAAGCCTCCAGTGATGAAAGACCTACAACTTCTGAAGGTAAGCTATTCCACCAGTTAATTGTCCTCACCAAGGGTGTCAAACTGGCAACCCACAGGCTGAATGCATCACATGTGGGTCACGGCCACCCCAGCTCCACAAATGGGGGAAATGTCACATGACAGCAAGGGGACACGGCGAGTTTAGCACCCATGGTCCTCGCTGTTAGGTAGTTTCTCCTTAATTCCAGGTTCCTTGTCTACCTACCCCATGGACTTCTTAAAAGTGCAGAGAAGAGCCACAAAGATGATTAGGGGACTGGAGGCTAAAACATATGAAGAACGGTTGCAGAAACTGGGTATGTCTAGTT